AAGGAAGGAAGGAAGGAAGGAAGGAAGGAAGGAAGGAAGGAAGGAAGGAAGGAAGGAAGGAAAACTATAAATCACAGGTCTGGAAGAAGAAGAAGAAACACAGGTCAAAGGCATAATATTTTCTTTTTTCTTGCTATTTTTCATTTGTTTTTGGTGTTTGTTTTATTTTTTTGGTCTTTAAGACAGGTCTCATTATGTAGCTTTTGCTGTCCTGTTGCTATGCAGACCAGGCTGGCCTTGAACTCACAGAGATCTACCTGTCTCTGTCTCTTGAGCACTAGGATTAAAGATGTATGCACCATGCCCACCTTACAGAAAATATTATCAACAAAATCATAGTGAAAAAAATTCACAAAAATAAGAATAAATGCCCACCAAGGTGCAATAAGCATACAGAATATCAAATAGCTAGGACCAAAAGACAACATGTAGTAGCCAAAACACTAAATGTCCAAAACAAAGAAAGAATATTGAAAGCTGCAAGACAGAAACAAAGGCACATTGAAAGCCAGGCCCATGAGAGCAGCAGCTGGCTTTTCAATAGATACTATAAAGCCAGGAGGGCCTGGGCAGATGTTTTACAAGTCTCCATGACTACTGATGCCAGCACAGATTTATCTGTACTAATCAAAGGAGAAAGGAGAACTTGCAAAGATAAAAGGCAGTTTAAAGGAACTTATGATCACCAAGCCAGCCTCACAAAGGAAGCCTTAAAGGAATACTTGGGACTGAAGAAAGAGTTTGGCACATTCAAGAAGTAGTAACAGGAAAACATAACAAAGGAAGACTAAGAAAAACAAACACAATAAAAAAATCAACAAAATGACAGTAATCGACACACACACACACTCACACGTATTTCAAGAATAACTGAAAGCATCAATGGTCTTAACTCTCCAATTAAAAGACCCAGACTAGCAAAATGAATTAAGAAACAGTATCCATCACTTTGTTACCTCCAAGAAACATACCTCACCACCAGAGATAGAAACCATCTTAGAGTGCAAGGATGAACAGAGACACACCAAGAAGATAAGACTTCTCGAACTAACATAAGGATACCAAATACTGATTAAGGAAACGATCCATCAAGACATTACAATCTTAAATATATATGCACTAAATTTTGCACTCACCTCTACAAAGCAAATACTTCCAGATGTAAAGTAACAGGTACACACAGACACACAGACACACAGACACACACACACACACACACACACACACACACACTCTCTATTAGTAGCTGGCTTCAATACCCCATTTTGACCACCCCTCTGACCAATAGATGGATCATATAAATAAAAAGAGAACAGAGAATTAATTAAATGACATCACTGATCAAATGGATCAATATATATTTGATCAATAATATCCATTTGATCATATATACATACACATATATATGTATATAAAACATTCCATCCAACCACTAGATCATATACATTCTCAGCAGTCCATGAAACTCCACACTAAAATATTGAGTTGCAAAACATATCTCAATAAATAAAAAAAATTGAAATAATTCCTTGAATTTTATCTGGCCATAGTGAAATAAAACTATGTATTAACAGCAATAGTTACCATAGAAAGACCAGGCATGGTGGCAAAAGCCTGTAATTTCAGAAACTAGGGATACAGGGGACAAATCTCGACATAATAATAGTAAAAGACAACAAATCCACAGCCAACATATATTAAACAGAGACAAACTTAAAGCATTCTCACAAAGATCAGGAATAAGACAAGAATGCCTGTTCTCCCCACTCCTGTCCAACATGGTGGTTAAAGTCTTAGACCAACAAGACAAGAGGAGGAGGAAAAGGAATACAAACAAGAAAGGAAATGAAGAAGTCAGAGGACGCTTACTTGCAAATGATGCAATTCTAAACATAAAAGATCTTAGAGACTTCACCTTAAAACTCCTACAGCTGATGAACACATTCAGCAAAGTAGCAGATACAAAATTAACACACACAAATCAGGAGCCTTCCTATGTACCTAAGACAATAAAGCCAAGAAAGAAACTAGGGAAACAATGCTATTCACAACTTATAAAAACAAAACCAAAATACTGTGACTAAAGCTAAGTGAGGAAGTAAAAGACTTGTATCTAAGGCATAGGAGAGAACTTTACAAACAGAACTCTGGTAATGTAGGAATTAAGACCAACAACTGACAAATGGAACTTTATAAAACTAAAATCTTTCTGTCCAGCCAAGGACACTATCATTCAAACAAAAAGGCAGCGTACAGAATGGGAAAAGATTTTATCAGTATACATCTGACAGAGTTGGCATGTAGACTATAAAAAAAAAATAAAAAACAAACAAATAAAAGAAAAAATCCAAAAGGAAACCCTAAAAAAACTTACCACCAGGAGAGCAAACAATCTATTATTGCTGCTCTTCATAATAGTCAGCAAATAGCCTAGATGTCAATGAATGGAGAGTGACAATGTGGTACATTTAACTGTAAAGAAGATTCAGCTTTATAAAAAAATGCATCTGCCAGAGTCTGACATATTCAGAGACAGATGCTCACAGCTAACCATTGAGCTGATCATGGGGTTCCCAATGGAGAATCAATTAAAGAAAAGACTGAAGGAGCTGAAAGGGTTTGCGGCCCCATGGGGAGAGCAACAATACCAACCATCCAGAGCTCCCAGGGTCTAAACCACCGGCCTGGGAGCACTTAGGGAGAGACCCATGGCTCCAGCTGTGTATGTAGGGGAAGATGACATTGTCAGGCATAGGTGGGTGAAGAAGTCTTTGGTCCAGTGAAGGCTGGACACCCCAGTGTGGGGGAAATCGTGGGTGGGGAGGTGGGCATGGGAATGGGTGGGTGGGGGCATATCCTCATTGAAGCAGGAGGAGGGGGGATGGGATAGAAGGTTCCTGGGTGGGGGGAAAGGGGGAAATGGGATTACATCTGAAATGTAAATAAAATATTCAATTAAAAAAAAAAAACCAAAAGGTAAAATACGAACTCTAAAAAAATGATGACATTTGCAGGTAAACGGCCGGAGCTGGAAATAGTCATTCTAAGGTAACTCAGACTCAGAAAGATGCAGTCTCTCTCATTTGCGTATGCTTGCTTTGAAATTTTAGATTTATATTTAATTTGGAGCAAACACAGAAGTCAGGAGACTAGTTACTCCAGCTCCCAGGATCCAGAGCTCTCTTCTGGCCTCCATGGGTACCTGCATTTATATGCACAAACCACTTCACCTACACTCATAATTAAAAATGAAATAAAACCTTTAAGAAATATAGTCATCACTGGCAATTTAGATTTATTGTATGTTATGTGAGCACACTGTTGCTCTCTTCACACCAGAAGAGGGCGTCAGATCCCATTACAGATGGTTGTGAGTCACCATGTGGTTGCTGGGAATTGAACTCAGGACCTCTGGAAGAGCAGTCAGTGCTCTTAACCTCTGAGCCATCTCTCCAGCTCACAGTAAGTCCTTTTAACACACATCTTTTAAGTTCTGCACCGAGAAAGGAAATTCAAATAAATAAAAATATAGAACATCAGCCGGGCGGTGGTGGCGCACGCCTTTAATCCCAGCACTTGGGAGGCAGAGGCAGGTGGATTTCTGAGTTCGAGGCCAGCCTGGTCTACAGAGTGAGTTCCAGGACAGCCAGGGCTACACAGAGAAACCCTGTCTCGAAAAACCAAACCAAAAAAAAAAAAAAATATAGAACATCTAATTAGCAAGTCACAACCTTAAAAGAAACAATAAATAACAAAAACAGTAGTTAACCCAACAGACTCAATCAATAAAACCACAGGACCACTAAACAAAAAAAGACAACTCTTTTGCTCCCCTACATAGAACACTTAAGTTTTTCAGAGTTAGAGAATAAATGCAGTATAAGAATGGTTTCAATGGAGAAAGGAGAAAAGAGGAAAATCAAGAGGAATTCATACATAAGGAAGATAGAGAGGAGTTCATACATTACAACATTACAAAGAATGATTTTAGTAAAAAATAATTTCAAATTCATGAATTAAAATTCAGAAAGACAGCCGGGCGGTGGTGGCGCACGCCTTTAATCCCAGCACTTGGGAGGCAGAGGCAGGCAGATTTCTGAGTTCGAGGCCAGCCTGGTCTACAGAGTGAGTTCCAGGACAGCGAAGGCTACACAGAGGAAACCCTGTCTCGAAAAAACAAAACAAAACAATCAGAAAGACACCAGTTTAATAATGGCTACTTCTGCTAGGGGTGAGCAATCTGAGTATTTTCCCTCTGTGTTTATTAAGTACATCCTAAGTTGTTTGGAGTAGAGGGGCCAGGCTGGCCTCCAGCTGCAGAGCCTCTAGCCTTAGTGCTAGAATTGCAGGCATCTACTACTATTACAAAAGTTTATGTTACTTTTATAATGAGGGGAAGAAAGTTTAAAATGTCTAAACTCTGGCATGGAATCAGACAAAGATCGACTTAAGCCAGGTCTGCCAAATTTGAACACAAACTATTTTGTATCTCAGATGAAGGGTGTGTGTGTGTGAGAGAGAGTGGGTTTGCAGCTGGTCAGACTTACAATGAGTCAAAGTATGAGGAGAAACCAATGTGACAGCTGTCATGGTGGGAATATTATTAATGCTTACTATAGCTTCTGATTAGTTAGAAATATAGACCATAAAATAACTAGGGGCTTGAAATGTGGCTCAGAGGCAGAACTCTTTTTCGAGATAAAATTTCTCTGTGTAGCCCTGGCTGTCCTGGAACTCACTCTGTAGACCAGGCTGACCTCAGCCTGCCTCTGCTTCCTGAGTGCTGGGATTAAAGGTGTTCCAGTCACCATCCCTCAACTAGCAGCAGAACTCTTAACTAGATTATATGAAACCCAGGATTTTTTTTTTTCTCCGGTTTTTCAAGACAGGGTTTCTCTGTGTAGCCCTGGCTGTCCTCGAACTCAGAAATCCGCCTGCCTCTGCCTCCCAAGTGCTGGGATTAAAGGCGTGTGCCACTACTGCTTGGCGAAACCCAGGATTTGATCCCTTGTAAAAATATATAACAAAATAAAACAGCTACAAGTTAAACAAGCTTCCACCAAGTAACTTCAGGTACAATTCCCACAATGCTACTATGTATATACAGCCAACATCTAAAACAGATTATGGAAAACAGCAAGTTGTTGAGACTGTGAGTTGTTTTGTCTTTAAACTTTAAATTGAGTGTTTGTGTAGCAAATAAAAAAGCAAAAGCATCATTACACTTACTACACGAAGGTCCTCAATGCGTTTCTCAAGCAGCACAGGTAGACCATCTGGAAGTGTAGGTACCACCTTGGGCACAACCTGAGAGGTGAAGGTGGGCTGGGTGGTATTTCCATTTTCTCCCCCTGACTCAGAGAGGGGACTTCCGTCAGAAGTAGCATCCAGTAATCTGTCAAAGTCAAAATCATCTAGCATCTCTAGGGCATTTTCAGCTTCCTGAAACAGTTCATGTTCATTTGTGCTAACAAAAATAGGGAGATCTGGATCAGCACTGTTCAGACTTAAGTCTGGGAGGTCATCCCCCAGGGCTGTTGCCACACAAGGGGGCTTAGGCAGAGAGGAAGTTGATGGGGTCACTGGGACTTTAGGGGTAGATTCCTTCTTCAATGCATCCTTCTCTTTCTGAAATTTTCGTATCATGGCAGCCAGAGAAAGGGAATCTTTATACCGCTTTTTCTTTTTTTCAGACTTGTGTGAATTGAGAGCCACAACTCTGTGAAGGAAAAAAAAGACTGGTTAGGCTTTGTCATTTTAAAAATTAATCCCCTATGTAAGCAAGTGAAATAATTAAAAGAATCACGTGGGAGATGGCAGAACAAAATTGTTTTCTTAGTTTCTTATTGGACTATACTTTCATGTTAGCACCTTCAACATCTGGACAGTATGACAGGTTTCCCACTCTGACTCCTTACATGTCATCCTCAGGATGCCCTGAACTCCTGCTTCACCCCCCAGATCTTAGAATTACAGATCTGTGGTAACACATGTGGATTAAACTGGTTCTTTTAGGTTAAAAAGCTGTATTGAACAAGACAGTCAAATGAAAAATCTGTAAGTATAATCTGAAACACCATGGGTCTCTCAGATGATATGCAGAAGATCATAACTAAATATATTAGTGGTAAATATGTATTTCTAAAATGAAACTGGGAATACTGTGATAATAATTTCCTAGTAGGCTTTTTTAGCATACCCCAGTTGTTTGGGTACTTTTTTCCTTGGCTTCTTTTCTTTCTCCCCTTCCTCTTTCCGCTTCCGCTTCTTTATCTCAATATCATCTTCTTTTATTTTGGGAACCTACAAAATAATAAGAGACTGTATCATTTATCAGTATAGCAATATTTTCCTCTGTGATGTTAGTAATGCAGCATCTAAGGTAGCAGTTTTTAAAAGTCATTTTTTAAGTGTCAGAATTACTTGCTGAAAGTACAGATCCTTGGGGTCTATGAACACTCCTGCCTGAGTTTTTGTTGTTACGCTGTGTATGTGTATAGTGTGTGAGGATAGACGCATATGAAGCTAGAAGGCGACAATGGGTATGTTCTCCGATTGAATTTACTCAGTTTCTCACTGAATGTGGAGCTCACCAATTAGGCTAGACTGGCTTGTGGGCAAGCCCAGATATCCTTCTGTCTGACTGTGGCTGTGGCTGCGTCCACTGGGACCTCAGAGTTGATGTTCTGAATAAGGATTTTAGTGATTCTGGTAAAAATTAAGTCTTTGACTCCATAGCAGAAAACAACTATGGATAATCTTAGTTTCTCAGCTATAGTACATCAACACAAGTTGTTACAAATTAGGTCTGAAGGAAGCTTGACAGTTACGAATGGTTCTTGTACAGAAATCCTCCTTTCTTATTTGTTTACCCATTTTGTTTACTTTTGGAGGCAGGGTCTCATCCTGTAACCATGTACCCATGGCTGACTATGAAACCAGGCTGACTTTGAACTCATTAAGATCCACCTGCTTCTACCTCCCACATTCTGAGATTAAAGGTTGTGGTTTTTTGGGTTTTTTTTTTTTTTGGGGGGGGGTTGTTTCTTTTAAATAGTGTAGAGATCAAATCTAGGGCCTTGTGGATAAGAGACAATGATTCTACCATTAAGCTATATCCCCTGCCCACAGCAATAATTTTAAGCAAATAATTAAGTACAATTTCACTAAACAAGAGTATTTTACTTTCCCTTATGTTCATAGTTGTAGCACATATAATATTCAAAAAGTCTATCCTAAAGGCTAGGTGTGGTGGCACACACAGAAGCAGGTAAATGTCTGAGAGTTTGAGGCCAGCCTGGTGTGCATAGCAAGTTCCAGGCCAGTCAGTGCTACAAGTATATCCTGGGGCAAGAAAGATGGCTCAGCAGGCAAAGTGCTTGCCATGCAAACCTGATGGCCCGAGTTCAATTCCCAGAGCTCACAGTGGAAGGAGAGATCCAACTCTCAAGAGTACTGCGTACACATACTTACATATACTCATCATATATACACATACAATAATAATAAAAAATGAATAATCAAAAAAATTCTGGTCTGGGTATACAGATCAGTAAGAGTGCCTATTTAGCATACAAGAAGGCTAAATTTTTAGCAAGCACAGCAAAAATATAAACAAAATAAAACAGAAGCTATATCATATTAATTCTATGCTTTCCTTACCACTGAGATGTCAAACTCACCTTGGGTGGCTTGTGCTTTTGGTTATCTGTAAAATCGTCTTCTTCAGTGTCTGAAGCTTGGCGAAACTGCAGTGTGCCCGTGTTGATATAGAAGCCTCCGTATTTTGTTGTTAGCGAAGCAGGGACTAATTCGTCATACTAGAGCAGAGAAAGATTCAAATATACTCTCCTGTGTGTAATTCTATAAACATGTCAAAGAACAACACTTACGGACACCTTCCATAAATACTAACTGCATATCCAGCAACCCCACTACTAGGTATACTCCCAAAGAGGATGACATCAGTACGGCAAAGATATGCCATGCTTCTGCATCAAATGCAACTCCAGTCAACACTGGAGCGACCTCCAGTGGTAAATGAATATTAAAATGTGGTACATTTATTTATATAATGAAACATTATCTGGCACTAACAAAGAAAGGCAGAGCTGGGTGTGATGGCACATGGCTTTAATCCCACTGTTTGGAAGCAGAGACAGGGAGGTGGATCTCTGTGAGCTCAATGCCAGCCAGGTCTATATAGTGAGCTCCAGGATCACCAGAGCTAGATAGTGAGACCCTTACTAAAAAGAAAAAGGCAGAAAATCCAATTCAGTATATAAAAACATCATGTTAAGTAAAATAAGCCAGCAAAGAGAAACCAGTACCACACACTCTCCTTATATGTGGACTCTAATTATACTGGATTCATAAAAGCACAGAGTACAATGTTAGATACCAGAGTTTTGGGATGAGGGCAGAAAGGGGTGAGAGAGAAACTGGTTGATAAACTTTGTATTTCAAAATAGCTAGGTGATTATCCAGGCTAATTAGTGATTGTCTAATCACTAAAAATAAGAACATTATCAAAGTGTTACACTGTACCCCATAATATATATACAATTACTAATTTAAAATTGTTTTAAATTATATTTATTTTAAATTAACAATTAAATTAACAATTACTAATTGTTGATTTAAAATAAATTCGGGGAGGAGATCAAAACTGCAATAAAAGTGTTGATGGAGTAGCCTAAGTTTAGAAAAAGTTAGTATCTGGAATAAAAGGCAATTTTGATCATTCAGTATATTTAAGAGAGGCGTTTCCAGAAGAATCCTGACAGATGGTGTACTAATAAAGAGTTAAGACTAATGGTACTGTTCTTTATTCCTTCCCCTTGCTATTATTCTTTTGTTTTTTGTTAGAACGCAGTTTATTTGTTAGATGATGTTCCAAAACACATCCAACGAGCCCAAAATAAATAAATAAGGAAATAAACAGCAACTTCAGAAACAAAACAAAAAAAAATCTTTGACCTCTGTCCCTTTTATAAGCACATCAGACAAACCAGGGACTTAGACTATTCCTTGCCTCTACCCTTCCTGACAGCAACTCTAATGAAAAGTCAACACAAATTAAAGCAGAGAACTGACCATTCAGATAAAAAGTCAGTCCTTCAAAACCCCATCAATATGGAATCTTACTAATAAGGAGATAATACAGAATAAGAAAATTCTTTGTCTTGCCTCTGTGTGTAAGCAGAGATATATTTTCAAGTATTCAAAAGAAGTAAAGCATACATCTTCAAGGAAAGCAGAAAACAGTCTCACAGCAAGGAAAGATAAACAGTCAAGCAGTATGCTGGGAAACCAACTTAGACTAGGCCTCAAAAATCCATAGTTTAAGGTTTATCATTTCACCCAGTGGAGATGGACAAAAACCAAGTATTAAATAGAGGCCAGTCCTAAGCAATCAAAGTGTTTATTTGAGAATGGAAAAAAAAAAAAAAAAAAAAAAAGAAGCATTCTGTTCCTAGCAGTACTCAGATGCAGTAACCAGGATGCCTCACTATTCTCTGCCTGGTATTCTTCAGATTACACTTTGTTTTGTTTTTAAAGAAAACATCCGGGGGCTGGAGAGATGGCTCAGTGGTTAAGAGCACTGACTGCTCTTCCAGAGGTCCTGAGTTCAAATCCCAGCAACAACATGGTGGCTCACAACCATCCGTAATGAGATTCGATGCCCTCTTCTGGTGTGTCTGAAGACAGCTACAGTGTACTCATAAATAAAGTAAATAAATCTTTAAAAAAAAAAAAAAAAGAAAAGAAAACATCCTTGGGAGTGGAGAGATGGATTAGCAGTTTAAACCTCTTGCTGCTCCTACAGAGGACCTAGGGCTCTAGTCCCTGGGTCACCCACATGGTGACTCACAACCATTTCTAACTCAAATTTCAGGAGATCCAATGCCCTCTTTTGATCTCTGTGGAAACAAGGCACACATGATGCACAAATACATATTCAGAAAAAATACCTGTGCATATAAAATAAAATTTTAAATAAATCTTTAAAAGAAAAGATGGCAGGCATAGTGGTGCACACCCTTATTCCCATCGCTTGAGAGGCAGATCTCTAGGAGTTCAAGGTCAGCCTGGTGTACAAAGCAGGTTCCAGGACAGTGAAAGCTGTTACAGAGAAATTCTGTCTCAAAAAAACAAAAACAAACAAAAAACCAAACAAACAAAAAGAAAGAAAGAAAATAAAAGAAAGATGGGAAGAAGAAAAACATTCTTGTCACAAGCAAGGAAAATCCATATTCTACTGGTCACTATATGAATATAAGCCATAATGGCACACATCTTTAGTCCCAGCATTCAGGAGGTAAAGGCAGGTAGAACTCTGTGAGTTCAAGGCCAGCCTGGTGTATGAGGACATCCAAGGCTACATAGAAAGACCCAGGGCTACATAGAGAGACTCTGTCTCAGGAAGAAAAAGAAAGAGAGAGAAAGGGAGGGAGGGAGGAAGAAAATTATTAAGGCTAAGCATAAAAGTTATGATGTGATTTTTTTTAACTGATTCCTTTCAAAGATTATGGAAAAGGGAAAAAGTTTGTTTATGCTGAATTTCAAAGAGTGAAATGAAGAGAGAAAAGAAATAAACTACTCTTTTGATTTCCTAGATGCACTGCTCTACATACCTCATGGAAAAAGATGAGTACCGATGACAAGTGAAGGACTGAGAGAGAAAAAGGAAAATGACCACCTGATGACATAAACATCCTTGTATCTTTGGTTTCACATACTGAAAAATACTACTAGTCCTCAATAGATCTTCACACAGACAATTCTCTTTGGTCCTCATGACACCCTTGGGAGGCAGGGAAGGCAAACATTATTACTATTTACAAGTGGAAAACAGGTAAGAATCTATCCAATGCCAATTTGTGCCTTTAGTAAAGTCACCAGCCAACTCTCAAGTGGTTTGCTAAACCAAACTACTTCTTCATGGGGGAAAACATGCACCCCAGATATTGAGGGCAATCTTAACTGCTCTAAGCCTTCTGTTGGGGTTTCTACCCTAGCACTGCTCAGAATAAACTTACAGGTATGTACGTAACTGAGCCATCTAAAAACAAAGTTAAGAGGTAATGAAACAACTTAAGATATCCTAGCTCTAAATCCTTTGCCAAGACTAACTAGAACTTGGGCAAATCTCAAAACATTAACGTCTGGAAGTTACACATGCTCAGTCCTTTTACAGTTTAGTAATAAGGTAGCAGAAGACTATAAACACTCACTGGGAATAGATGATTTTTAATTTGGAAAGCTTATTGACAACAAATCAATACAAGCAAGGCGTCCTTTGATTGGATTATCATTGTTTTATGTCTGAATTATAAAAAGAACAGAGTGACTTTTAAAAGATCAATGACAGGGCTAGTGAGATGGCTCAGAGGCTAACACTGACTGCTCTTTTAGAGATCCTGAGTTCAATTCCCAGCAACCACATGGTAGCTCATGGCCATCTGTAAAAGGGATCTGATGCCCTCTTCTGGCCTGCAAGTGTACATGTAGACAGAGCACTCATACCTAAATGAATAAATCTTTAAGTAGTTTTTTAAAAAAAGATCAATGATAAAATGTTACTAACTGTACAAATCAACAACTTATATCTATAAAATTCATCCTTATTAAAGCAGCAGCTTTCAAATTTTCTTCAAACCAAGTTAAAAAAAAAGATATATCAAAACCCAGCATATACATATACAACAAAAATGAAATCATCTACGACAGACCCTTTTCCATTTGATTTTGTTTTTTTTGTTGTTGTTTTTAATATGAGTGAGGGCTAGACAGATGTCTCAGCAGTTAAGAGCACTAATTTGAAGAGAACCTAGATCCGATTCCTAGCACCACATGGTGGTTCGAAACTATAACTCCAGTCCCAGGTATCTTATCTCTTCTGACTGTTGCAGATACCAGGCATGCACGTTTTGCACATAGATACACACCGGCAAAACATGCATACAGATAATTATAAAATAAACTACTAGTCATATGGTCAAAATTGGTACATAATTCATATATTAGGTGCAAAATTAAGTTGAAACTGCTTTATTCATATACAAATATCATAATTGATATTAGAAACATCACAGATGAAAATTCATTATATGGTTTCCATTATAAGGCACTCTTAAAGAGTCAAAACTGAGCCCTAGGGGAATGGCTGAATGGGGGAATCACTCGTCTAGCATGCTTAAGGCCCCAGGTTTGATTCCCAATACCATACATAAAATGAGTCAAAACTGAGCCAGGCAGTGATGGCACCTTTAATCCAAGAACTTGGGAGGCAGAGGCAAGGGTAATGTAGATATTCAAGGACAGCCTGGTCTACTGAACAAGTTCAAGGACAACCAGGGCTACTTAAGAGAAGTCCTCTCCCAACCCTTTGCTCCCCCCACTCCCCTACAAAGTCAAAACTGAAGAACTAAGATTTTTAGAGTTGCCAGAGATCAGGAGGGCTGGAGGGATGAACAGGCAGAGCACAGAGAATTTTTAGAGTGAAACTACTCTGTATGGTCATAAGGGTGAACATATGTCAATAAACATTTGTCTGAACCAACAGAATCTATCATACCAGCAGGGACACACTATGAACTTAGGTGATAACAGTGTACTAATTAGGTTTACCAACTGTAACAGGTACACTACCATGATACAATATGTTGATAGTAAAGGAGGCTCTGGGGGGGGGCAGGGGGCAGTGGATATGGAAGCTCTTTGTACCTTCTGTTCATTCTTGCTATGAATCTAAAACTGTTCTAGCCAGACATGGTGGCACAGCGAGATCTCCTTGAGTCTGAGGCCAGCCTAGTCTACATAATATGTTCCAAGACACCCAGAGCTATACAGTAAGATCCTGACACACACACACACACACACACCCTAAAAAAATAGCTGGGGTGATGCATTTAATCCCAGCACTCAGGAAGGAGGCAGAGGCAGACAGATCTCGGAGTTCAAGACCAGTCTGTTCTACATTTCAGGACAGTCAGAGCTATACAAAGAAATACTGTCTCAAAGTAAAACAAGCCAAAACCAAAAAAAACAGAAACCTAAAAAGAATTTTTAAAAAATCTGTTCTAAAATACAGTATTAACTATAAGAAGCTATTTAAGTAAAAGTATGGGTTCATGCAATGGCCATAAATGAATTTCCTTTTGGGTAAGTCAGAATTTTAAATCTACATATTAGCATTAATACTAATGTTTGATACTTGTTAATACTCATCACCATATTTAAATTTATGTTATTTTAATCTCAAAGTAACTTTGGGAGATAGTAATTGCACAGAAACTGGATAGATAGTAATTGCACAGAAAATTAGGTAACACTGACATATGCTTTCCTGATCAAATGTCAAATTAGGAACTAATATAAAACTAGAACCTTGGACTTCTACACTGAGTTCCAAGTAGCAGTCAATACTCTAGATAGAAACATCCCAATCTTCATGTGCCAATAGCTAAGTTTTAGCAACGGTAAGTGTTCTCTACTCTAAACAGCACTGCTAATTAATATGCCTTGCCAAGAAACCACAAGTAATTTAGGAACATGATATCCAGTGTGCACTGAGCTGACAATCATTCCAATCACTCTCTTACCAGTATAAGCTCCATCTGTCACCATATATGCAAACAAGTACTGTATCACCACGCAAAAGCTATACTAATTTGCAAATCATAAAATATTTAAGTACTGTCATTAAGTACTCCAGAAGATATGGTAATCCTAAAGGACATCATAATCTTAGGCATTAATCTAACACCCAGATAAAAATGGGAGAACATAGACCTTACCTACTACAAAACACGACAAACCTTAATTTATGTACTAAGTCAGAGTTCTAATGATTCTTATATGTTGTCCCAAATTTCATCTTCCTTTTGTAAGAAAAATTGGATGCTAGAACTCAGGTTGCAGAATTTGGTCAAAACATACTGGTGATAAAGCCTGGTGCTTAATATACCACTACTAGAGTAAGGTATACAATAACAGCAACAAACTAATTAGTTTTATAGGTATCTGCCAAGCTAACTTTAACTCTAGCACACCAACTTTCAGGACTATTTTATAAGCCATTCCAAAATGACCTCCAGAAGCTTGCTTCAGGATGGAGACCCTATGACCAATAAATTCCATTGCTAGCAATTTGCCCCAGCCATATTATTTGAACTCTATAAAGTATTCTGAATCTATGTTTATTCAAGTAGATGAATGCACCCGAGATGCTCAACTACCTGTAAACACATAACCCTAAGAATTAAAACTACTTTCACTAAATCAGTAAATAATATACTGTAACAACCATTAAAAGAAGTGTATCTATGTGTTAATATATACTACTAAAAGATGTTGAATTTCAAGAAAATAATATTTAAGATACATATAATGATAATATTTGTTTCTTTTTTTACAAGTATATATAGGTTGAATGTTTATTAGACACAGATTTTCTTGATGATTACAAAAGAAGTTTTATGTTTACTTCTTGGCGGGAGTCATTTGGCGAATACCTTACCTTGTACTTAGTATCCATCTTGTGCTCTGTTGCTGGTTTGGCATCACTGATTTATGTATGCATGTGCTGCACGTGCGTGTATGAGGCTGCCCTCCCTTGCATGTGAGTGTGGGGGCTACAAGTCTACGTCAGGGGTCTGCCTCAGTTTCTCTTCATCTTAAATGTTTTAGTCTGTCATTGGTCTGTTCAGACTGCCTGGTGACCAGCCCTAGGACCTGCCTACCCCGTGCTCAGCACTTCTCGTGGGTGCTGGAGAGCTAAATTCAAGTTCTCATGCTTGCATGGCAAATACTTTCCAACTGAGCCGTCTCCCCAGCATCATAAATGATTCTTTTAAAAGCTAGAAAAATAAAACCAAAGAAGTCCTAATAACAAAAAAAATTCTTGTTTAAGCCATATAACCAGAAATTATAATTCAGTAAGTGTAAGTTTAGACAAACATAACAGAGGGCTGGAGACATGACTTAGTGTTAAAAGCACATATTGTTCTCACAGAGGACCCAACTTCAATTCACAGCATCCATATCAGGCAGCTCATAACTGTCTAGAAATTCAGCTTCAGGGAGCTAATGCCTCTCTGACCTCCCTGGGTACATACAAAGACACATATACATATACATACACAGATAATAAAATTCTACAAAATTAAGAAAGCATAGCAATGTTTTCCACCATTGATTAAGCTTAATATAATCATTTTCAGCATTTGGTTAGAACATTATTCCTTTTCCCATGTATGAGTATCAATGTGTGTGCTTGTGTATAAGCGAGTGCCTGTGCATGTGCTTGTGTTTCTAGACAGGGTCTCATATATCCCAGACTACACCCTCAATGTGCTATGTCTCAGGACTGACCTTGAGCTCCCGACTCCCCCCTCTCTACCAATGCTGGGATTGCCAGTATGTAATACTGTGTTTTTGTCCTTATTGAAACTTCACTTCTCAGTTTGGGCAAGGAGTAATGATTTCTCTAGGAATTAATGCTAACTGTGCACCTGAAAATAAGCAACTGATTAACCTCAAGAGATTCTTGAAAGACCTGAAAGCACAGCAAACTACAAGTAATGGCCTACTATCTTGTTGGCAAACCAGGACTTGCTGGCCAAGCTCAGCCTAACAGTTTGTTACACAGCCTGCCAGAATAAATTTTGCATTTTTTAAGTGGTGGGGAAAACATCAAATTAAATATTCTGTGATGCATTAAAATTACATGAGTTTAAATTTTACAGTCTATCAGTAAAGCTTTACTCTTAACATCGCCACACTAGTCTACATACATATTCCCTATGACTGTGCTCATGCGAGAGAAGAGCTGTAAGAGACACCATATGGCCCACAGTCTAAAATATTTACCACATGGCCCTTTATAGTTTGCCAAAACCTGGCCTATGACAGCAATATAGTAACAACTTACCATGAACAAGCCAACATTACAAAAATGTAAATCTACAGTTTAAAAAAAACTATACAAACAGGTTTTAAAAGTACAAATAAACATCCATTGAAATATTTTAAGTTGCCTTGATGTCTACTGCCAAGAGCTTACTGTCATATTTAAGATATATTACTTACAGCCTCTGAGTTATCAATAAATGGATCTGTCTCATCATAGCCAAAGCCTATATCAATTAAATCTTGTAGCCGATCCTTCCGGTGTTTACGAGCTTTCCCACCCTGCAAAGAAGAGATACATTAGACTTATTCAGTACCTGTACTGTCTCTATAAATTAAAAAAAAAAAAGACCTGTTAGAAGAATTCACATAATTTTTGTAGAGAAACCCTCTGTAGGATCTCCCCATATTTTGCATGTAAAGTGCACTTAGTGACTGCTTCTTCAGAGTAGAACAAGTTGGACAAAGTAACTCTAAGGTAGAAAATCTGTCAACACTTCCTCAACCACACAGTCAGCACTAACAATGAATGGGAAGTCAAATTGATGGCATCGATCTTTGACATAATAAAAATTACTTGTCAACTCTGTGATCTTCCATTTAAAAGCCTGTACCCTTTGTTCAGCCATGAGGCTATAAAATAACTTATCAGTGTTCTGCAAAGCCATCATGATGACCAAAGCCAAGGAAAATATAAAAAAGTCAATCTGCTGGACATGGTGGCACGTTTTTAATCTAAGCACTTGAGAGAAGCAGAGGCAGATGAATCTCTGTGAGTTCAAGGCCAGCCTGGTCTACACAGTGAGTTCTAAAACAGCCAGGGCTACCCTGTCTCCAAGAAACAAAAGAAAACAATCAATCTACAAAAGCCTAAGGAGAGCGCTAACCCTGAAAATTATCCTCAAAAATAGGCATGCAACGTGTCTCGTATACAATAAATAAAAAACATTCTTTAAAAAATATTATATCTTATGTATATGAATGCTGCCTGCATATGTATGTGCATGCACACATGCCTGGTTCCCCCAGAAACCAGAAGTGAACACTGGATTCCCTATAACTGGAGTTAATTATGGGTGCTGGGAACCAAACTCCATCCTCTGTAAGACAAACAAGAGATCTGACTTAACCATAGAGCCACCTTTCTCTAGACCTCTTTTTTTTTTTTTACTGTTTAAGACTTTTAGTTTTGTGAGTGCACCAGTATGTTAGTGTGTGTGTATAATGTATATGTAAATACACACATACATATATATGTATACATACATACATACATACATACATACATACAGTGTAGGTGTCCTCAGGAGGCAGAAGGGTGCACCAGATCCCCTGGAGCTGGTGTTGCAGAGTAGCAAGCTACCTGACTGGGTGCTGGGAATCAAATTCAGGCTCTCAGCAAACCACCAAGCCATCTCTCCAGCCCCTAAAACCTATTCTTAAAAGTTATACTTACATGTTGTGTAATTGTACACACAGAATACAGGTCTATGAAAACAAGCACATACAGGAATTAGTGGTCATATCAAGTCTGTTGTCTAGCCTATTCTCAAGTGTCCTGTGCCAAGGCCCACCCTCCAGTTTTGATGGCTGCAGTTATGTGAGGCATAACCCCTGGGAGTATCTAGCTGGGTGATGACCACAAGAGTCTCTTCTACTGTATGAAACATGTAAACCTATAATTATTTTTAAATGAAATATTTCTAAAACAAAACAATGGTCAAAACAAACCTGTTCTTGGTGACTGCATTATTCAAGTTATACTTTACTTTGACCCTGGCTAATCACAGCATAAAGATACAAAACGTTACTATCTCAGATACAAAATGTTACTCACACTCTCAAAGTTTCATATAAGCTTGGGCTAAGTACTTGGGATAAACTGGGGAGAAGCCTTCCTCTGGTACTAGGAAAACAAGTACATGAGATCTGCGGCTAAGCCTCACTTTGAATATTTTTACATTTACATTTACAGAGTCAAGCTCAACTATGAATCCCTGAACCATCTCCTCATCCTGTGAAGAGGAGGAGGAGGAGGAGGAAGAGGATTTGGCCTATCAACATGTTATTTCCAAGCCACAGTGGGCTTTGCAGAAAGCATAAGAGAACTTGATTCCAGTTCTCACAGGGCTGACTTTAATGCAAATTAAGTCTAGTGTTTAAAGATGGTTACATTGGTCTTTTAAATAAAAAAAATGAATGAAAAGAAAATGGCTACACTGAATTATAAACAATGTCTCTAAGGCAGTGCTTACCCTCAGAGTAACTTCCAAAGGTAATTCTAAATAAATGCTGTCTGCCATACATACTGATATTGAAACATCTAACCTACCTCAATCTATGCCCCTCCCTGGGGGGAAAAAAACCTCAGTGGGGAATAATTAATAAATAAAATGGGAGCCAAGTGGTGGTGACACATTCCTTCAAGTCCAGCGGGTGGGTCTGTGTGAGTCTGAGGTCAGCCCAGTTTACAGACAGTCATACAGCCAGGGCAACACAGAGAAACCCTATCTTGAAAAATCAACCAAACAAAAAAAAGAAAAAAGTATATTAAAATTTTTTGAATTTTACTAAGAATTATATTCATTCTATCTATCTATCTATCTATCTATCTATCTATCTATCTATCTATCTATCTATCTAGTTCTTCATATTGTCTATAAAAATATATTTTAAATCAGTACTTAAGATTTTAAGTACCTGCTAGGGGCTTGTGGTTTAGCTCAATGGCTGAAAGCATGCTTAACATATGTGCAGTCCTGGATTTTATTTCTAGTAGTCCACCTAAAACATGTCAAGAATTAAAGCTAGAGAGAGCATGCCTGCAATTCCAGCCCTTGGGAGGCTGAGACGAGACTGGAAATTCAATGCCACTCTTCTACACAGTGAGTTTTAGAAAGCAATATGATAAAATATCAGAAATGATTTAAGTTCTTTTAAAACTTTTATTCTTATTTTATGTCCATGAGTGTTCACCTGCATGTTGATAGGTATACCATGAGCATACCTGGTGCCCACAAAGTCCAGTGGGGGCATTGAATCCTCTGGAAGTGGAGTTCTGGACAGCTCTAAGCTGTCTGTGATACTGGTCCTGGGAACTGAGCCCAGGTCCTCTGCAAGAGTAGCAGTGCTTTGAACCACTGAGCCATCTTTTCAGCCCCAAGAATTTAAGTTCTTATTCCCAAACAACTAAAAACAAAGATAATCTGATTAAGACATTTACCAAGTACATAGTGAGCCAACCTTTATAGACTATATAGTACTGTAGCCAAAAGAAAGATTAATGATTACACTAATTATAAACAGTAAAAAATGAAAATTCTGTGAGGGTTGTATGGAGTCTTTTATAACAGATGATCTACTCAAGTCTTTCCTAAGACATTTATATTCTTAGACAAGACAAATGAAACTAAACACTTGTGGGAGCCCTTGAGTGAAACCACTTGGCTACCATATGGGGAACAAATCCAGTTAAACGAGAAAAAAAAGTATAGTGATCACAATGTCACCAGTTAGTGGAGGAACAAAATCTGTACTTAACTCCCCTAATTATGTAACTAGATCATGATGACAACAGCTACCATTCGCATCAGACACTGAGCACGTCCATCTTTTATTTCACATTCCACAAATGAAAACACACCAAAGCTCAGGAAGGAGAGCTAACTGGTCAGTGGTTACTGTGGTGATTTGAATAGAAATGGTCCCCACAGACACACTTGTTTGAATGTTTGGTCATAAGGAGTGGTACTACTAGGAGGTGTGGCCTTGCTGGAGGAAGTGTCTTTGAGGTCTTAAAAGTTCAAGCCTGGACAATGTGACACGGTCTCCTGCTGCTGCCTGCAGATCAAGATATAGAACTCTTAGCTCCTTCTCTAGCACCGTATCTGCCTGCATGTCCATGTTTCCTACCATGACGATGATAATGGACTAAACCTCTGGAAACTGTAAGCCAGCCTCAATTAAGTATTTTCCTTTATAAAAGTTGTTGTGGTCACGATGTTTATTCACAGCAATACAACCCAAACTAAGACAGTTTAGAAAGACTTATTTGTATCTAGAAAAAGAAAATTAAGAGATGTTACAGAGCCCATGGGGGTCACTTTTTAGCTAGAGCATTCAACTCAATGTCTGAATTCAAATCAGTGTCCACACTGCCACATGTCTCCAGATTGGCTTCCCCCAAACAGTACCCATGGTTTTATATGTAGTGTACTTAGCTAGCTAGCAAGATGGCTCAGAGGTTAGAGGCACTTGCACAATTCAATTCCCAGACTTCACTCATGGCAAGAGAAATATGACTCCAAAGACTCGTCCTCCTGATCTCCACATGCATGGTATGGCATGCTTTTACCTACTCTGGATCACACATACTTCATTACCTGATACCATTAAAAGTGATAACAGCAAGTGTTAACAAGGATGTAGACAAACTGAACTTCTCCTATTTCACTTGTGGAGGCACAAAGGGGTCTAATAGCCTCGTGTGAAATCCACACTTAAAATCCCAGCAGGAACAGGAAGATCTTGAGTTTGAAATTAGCCTTGGCCCAAAGAAACAAAAAAACAAACAAACCAAAACCAACCACACATATATACATATAAAAGCCAGACATGGTGGCACATGCCTTTAATCCCAGCCCTCAGAAGGAAAAGGAGGATCTTTGTGAGTTTGAGTCCAGTATGGTCTACATATGGAGCTCCAGGACTCCAGGAGCTGGCAGGACTACAAAGAACAAACTCAACAGCCACTCTGTGAGAATGGGCACAACAGTATGTGTATGCAACATCAGTGCAGGGTGGAAGAGGGAGACAGATCCCAGAGCTCACTGGCTACTAGCCAATGCAAAGGAAGAGCCTGTCTCAAAAAAGTAAGGTTCTTTCACACACACCTAGCCTTCACACACACATTAATATAGAACAAACACCAACATGCATACTACATGAAACAGACTGCACAGTAAAAACTGTATGGTCTTTTTCTTTTTCCATGTATTATTTCTGTATGGGTCTGCAACATGCATGTGGAAGCCTGATGACAGCTGTGAACACTGGCTTTCTTCTACCACCAGGTAGGCTCCAGGGGCCAAACTCAGGCCATCCTGGCTCGGCAGTAAGTGATTGCTTTTTTTTTTTTTTAAGATAAGTTACCTTGCCAGACACTGGCGATGGTGACCATGCAAATCTTTCATCCTAGCACTCGGGAGGCATTGGCAGATGGATCTCAAAGTTCAAGGCCAGCCTGGTCTACAGAGCCAGTTCTGGGACAGCCAGGGCTACAC